AAAAATGGAATGCCAACAAATAAAATCAAAAATAGGGTTTTTCAGTTTAATAAAGTTAAAACCTAAACAACACCTAAAAGTTTTGGCTCTTTAAGTGGCTAACACTTGGCAGTACTTTTGTCCTGCTCCTGGCTTCCTGGAGCCTGTTTCCAGAGCAGAGACACTCCTCTCTTTCTGTACCTGCTCCCTGCTCCATGGGCAGCATAGGCCTGTGGCCCCACACAAGGAATCATGGAGTTTGCCCACACCCACAGAGGGGCACTCAAGAACAGCTTTGTTCAGAAGCAACAAAGGAGGCTTTAGTTCCGCCCAGGAAATCAGGAAGTGAGCTGTTTGCAGCTATCTAGAGAGTTGTCTGCCCCAAGAACTGATCTGTTAGTGTTATCTGTGCCCGCTGTGTTGTGGCAGCTGGATCAAGCTGGCTCAGATGTTTGCACTGGTACTGGCGAGCCTTAGTTCTCGCCCTGCTGCCTCTAATGAGCCACCCATCTCCATCAGGTCAAATTCTTTGCAGGTGATGGAGGAAGAGAACCAGGGCGCACAGTGCATTTTCCCCAACAAATACCTGGCAATCTTACTGAATTTGTCAGAGTCCTATGGATAAAAACTGGCAGATTCAACTAAAAATCTGCTTTATCTTCAAATGATTATTAATTTTCCATGAGTTCTCTCTAATAAGTGGGTTTTCAGAAATAATCATTCAAAGGTAAATTATTTAAATTGAAGTTTGGGGATCTGACAAGTCATTTTTATTTCAAACTTTTTTTTCCTCCTAAACATTCAGAAATAATACTACATTCTGGAGTTAATTAGGGCAACTTGTATATAACTTTTCTTCTTTTGAAGGGAGAATGAAGGAGAGGAAAGTCATTGCTTCAGATTGGAATGGGACAGATCTGGTGGTGTGGACTTTGGCACATTATTTCACTTCCTCAGGACTTGTTTTTTTTTTTAATTTATAAACGGGGAACAATAATATTTATTTACAGGGTTTACTTAAGGGTTCAATTAAAAGACCTAGCACAGATTCTAGACCATAATAAGGACTCAATATCTATTAGTTTCCTTTTTAAAACCACGGTTAGATCAGTTTCTATAAATGTCACTTTTCAAAATAGTTATTTTTAATATGCTTAACATATTAAAAAAAAAGCCCACATTTAAAATCCTAATATTAAATATTCACGTTGTATAATTGTGCAAAATTAATTTTACTGAGTGAGCCTTTTATGTTTTCAGTTAATAAAAGTCCATGTTTAGAGCCTGAGAGTCCTGTGAGTCTCTTAAACTGTGTTATGGGTAATTTTGCAGGATTTCCAGAAATTATGAATGTCAGTGGAAATTTCTACCCCTCATTATTTAGTGCACAGCTCTATGAGATCTGTAATTTAGTAGGTGACTGGTGAGGGTGTTTGGTCACCATCTGTGAAAGGCCTAAAAGTGTGCAGTGGAGTAAACGGCTCTTGTAGCTACATTGCAGAGAAAGACTTCCTACCGTCATACAGTCTTAGTGTTCTACAGTTTTAAAAACTTAATGCTACTTTCAACTCTCTAAGAACTGCTCTTCAGACTACTTTAAAAAGGAAAAAAAAAAAAAAACTGTAGTTATTGTAGCATAACTGACCTTTATTGAAAATTGCCTTGTCTTGTCCTAAAGAACCAAATGTTTAGAGAAACAGTTTGCAGGACTCCAATTGTCCTTCAAAGATAATGAGGTCAGCCCTGGCCAGTTTGGCTCAGTGGTTGGAGCGTCAGCCTATGGCCCAGAGAGACCTGGGTTCGGTTCCCACTAAGGGCATGTACTTCAGTTGCAGTTTGTCCCCAGCCTGGGTTGGGTTGTGTGGGTGGCAGCCACTCAATGTGTCCCTTTCACATCGATATTTCTCTCTCTCTCTCCCTCCCACTCTATCTGAACAAAAAATGGAAAAGTGTCCTCGGGTGAGGATTAAAAAAATAAAATAAAAAATAATAAAATAAAAAAAAGATAATGAGGTCTGACACCTCTCAGTGCTTAATATTTTGGGGGTAGTTATGCACTGCCTGTCAGATTATTAGATCACTTTCCTTACCGTTAGCAATTCTTGTGATTAAGCATGCAAGGAATATAAAAAAAAAAAAAAAATGACACTCCTGTGTATAATCTAGACAGTCATTTATTCATACACACATTTACCCATCATGAATATCCTAAAACAGCGATTTTCAACCTTTTTCATCTCATGGCACACATGAACAAATTACTAAAATTCTGCGACACACCAAAATATAGATATTTTGCCAGTCTGACAAAAAAAAAATAGGTATAATTTTGACTCATTCACACCAGATGGCTATTGTGTTGGCTGTTGTCATTTTTTTCTTTTTTTTTTTGACAACGCCTAAGGGAAAAGTCAGGTATTGCATGTTTGAAAAATTATTGCAGCTAACTGGTTGAAAAGCACTGTCCTAAAAGATACCCTTTTAAAAAACAGATTCAGATAGGGAAATTTTCATTTTCCTTTCATTCGTTCAACAGATATTTGTAAGCACCTCCTGTGTACCAGATACAGAGAGTATTCAGTGGAAAATAAGCACCTGTCTCATCCTGACCGCTTAGTTTCCCCAGGGCCCCACCACAGTGGCCACCATAATACTGGTTTCTTTTCAGAAATATCCTATACATATACAGGAATATATGTGTGTATGTGTGTGTGTATCACTGTGTTTTAAAATCCAAGTCATAGCATACTATAAATCTCACATCTTGGAGAGTAGTCCATATCAGTCTAGCTCATTTTCTTTTTACTGCTGCGTAGTATTACCTTGTATGGTTGGATGATCATTGTTAGTACCCTGTTGCTAGACTTTTAACTAACCCCTTGGGTTTGGTTTTGTTTTTCTTCTATTTGTGTGGCTTTGCCCTCCTTCTCCTTCCCTGCATTTCTTCTAATGTATCAGTTTCACTCCCTATCACTTCATCCTAATGATTCTGGGAAATGAGACTCCGCACACCTTCATGGAGACTCTCACCCTCATGTGTACTTGCAGCAGATCCAGGTAAACCTGAGTGAGTTAAATGTACCAAATAAGTCCTTATCTTTTTAGCCCACGGATTCCTTGTGATTAGCTTATTGATAATTGATCATTAAGCCAACTGATAAACTTGTCTATCCTATATCCACTTCCTTTAAATTGCAGATAACTTGAGGAGAACTAACTCTGACAGGCTCCATACCTGTCAACTAGGACTCCTTCGTTTCATGTTGCCCAGGCTGCTCACTGATCAGTCAATATTCTCCCTTCTGGGACTGCTGGTTACTGTCAAGGATTTCCTTTGCTCCTGGGCCGCAGTTGTCTTCTTGTCCTTTGAATGTCATTACTCTTCCTATATGGTTTTATTTCCACTTTAATGTAGAAACTTTTGAAGATCAATCAAAGCACATTAACTTTAAATGCATCATAATTAGCTCACTCCCTTTGGAATGGCTCTATAAAGTGTATCTAGTCTTATTTCTGGAAACCTTATCTGTCAGAAGGTTGCTTTCTTACCTTTGGTCATAAAAAATAGAAAGGCCCTGCACAACCCAAGTCTTTAGAGACTTCAAGTTGACCTTGACCACTGATTGTTGCTTCAGCTGCAGCATCTGTTTTTTGTTATTTCTGCTCCTCTTCGTGTTGACATTACCATCCATTGCCTCTGAGGTTCAGTTTTCCCATTTCTTGTTGACTCTGCTTTCTGTACTCGAATCCTCCTCCTTGCCCTTTATGTCTGTCTGTTTTCTTTAATTCAGCTTCTTCAGAGTTTGCTTACTTCTTTGACTATTTTAGTTTGTATCCTAGCAGCATAATTTACTGTGCTCTCTTATTTCCTCAGTTGGTTAGTCAGTTGACTTCATCTATCCCTTTAGTTTAAAGGGCTTTATCAAGGCCCTGGCCAGTTTTCTCAGTGGTTAGAGCATCGGCCCGCAGACCAGAGAGTCCCAGGTTTGGTTCCCACTAAGGGCATGTACCTCGGTTGCAGTTTGCCCCCGGCCCCAGTTGGGGTCATGTGGGTGGCAACCACTCGATGTGTCTCTCTCATATCCATGTTTCTCTGTGTCTTTCTCCCTCTCTCCCTCCCACTCTATCTGGAAATAAAAATAATAAAGGGTTTTATCATGGTGCCAACCCATTTCCTTGTTCTGACAATGAGTGAAATTTAATTGGAAAAAAAAACAATGTTCCATAGATATATCCTCTTTCTTTTTCTAAATTTTCAACATTTGGAAATGTTAAAGTTTGCTTTTAAGTTTTTTTTTTTTCTTTTAGAAAATTTTCTAGGTTCAGTGTGTATATTCTTTAATTCAGCCATTAGTCACTTTATTACCACTTACAAATTCAACAAGTATTTATCACATTTCTAACACCTGCCCAACACTCTTCTAGGCCCTGTAGACAGAGGCCAGCTCCGTGCCCTCAAGGAATTCTCTCTGCTGGGGAGGCAGGGCTCATAATGTGGTCCATAGGATGGAGCCACTGTGCCAGAGGAAGCTGGAACGGAGGCATGAGGAATTAGGAATGGAGCTGCAGTTTCAAAGAAGGTGTTAAGAGAAGAGCTTACAGGGAAGAGGCAATTTGAGCATTACTTGGAGGAAATGCTGGAGCAAGTCCTGGGAATTTATGTAGAAGAAGATCCGGGCAGTGAGAGCAGGTGTGGAGACTGGGGAAGTGAGTAAGTGGCACATTTAAGGAACAGCAAAGAGGCCGCAGTGTCTAGAGAGGAAGGAGTAAATTAGAGAGGTTCCCAGGAGCCGTATGGCAGGAGACCTTTTGGCCATTGCACTGATTTTGGCTTTGACTCTGAGATAAAGACCACTTGCCAGTTTTGAGCAGTCAAGTGAGGTGATATAGATTATGCTTTGATGTATTATTGTCACATATTATTTCAAGAGGATTTATGACTGAGGATAAAGTAGCCTTTTTCTTGCTATAAATATTTTGTGCTCAATCAGTTGAGTGAACTAGAGATTGCTGCAACCACAATGCCGAAACGAAAGAAGCAGAATCAGCAGCAGCAGCAGCAGCTGCCGCAGCCCCAAGGGCCAAAGCGGGTAGAAACTGGAGAAGAAGATGTGGGATCCCTATCGGACCACCCAGCCTTCTGGGCCCTCCCCCAGTGGCCAATGGAAAGCCTGGTGACCCAAGTCAGCCCAAACTGGAATCCACCCCCATGCCCACCATCAGTAGAATGGGTAAATAAGTTGTGTGTGCGTGCAATGGGACACTACACTGCGATGAAAACTCCTGCTGCAGGCCACCTGGATGAATCTCACACGATGCTGAGCGAAAGGAGCCAGACTCAAAAGAATGCAGACTCTTCACAGAGGTCCTCTAGGATCAAGGGCACTGATGATTCCACCGCTGCTGAGTCTCCCACCTCCCCAGGACAGAGGCCCAGTTTCAGGAGGCCTTGGCCCCAGGTCTGATCCATATGGTTGTGGTAGGTGGGGGATCAGTGCTGAGCCTCCTTTTCCCAGAGGCCACAGTAGTCCCTCCAGGAGATGTTTTCCCAAAGAACAGAGACATCCTGGAAAGTTCAAAAGCTGGTCGCTCATCAAGAATGCCTGCCCCTCCAAGGGTGAACCTCAGGTTATGGAAGACAAATCTGACTGCCCTATCTACTGACACTTTGCCAAAAACGGCCACTGCCGATATGAGGACCTCTGTGCCTTCTACCACCCAGGCATCAATGGACCTCCTCTTGAGACTGCCTTTCCATCCAGGCTGGAAGGAGACTTCTGTGACCTGGTGACCATGTGCTTCTCTGTGTCCCTGTGACAGCTACTGTGAGGCTGTTCCACCCACCACCCTCAGTCAGTGACACCCACCGCTGTCCACCACCTCCCCCACTTGGGGTCCAGAGTTGTGTTTCATCACTGATGCATGGTGTGTACTCTTTCTGCTGATCCAGCCTCCAGAAACCCGCCTTCAGGACTCCATCTTTGCTCCTTCACTGACTCCTGGATTCTGTCCCCCTCACCAACTGACTGCTGAGCAGAACACTGATTTGATGCTATTTCTTGTGCACTTGTCCACCCAGCCCCCCACATTGCCCTCGATTCCTGAGCCCAGGAGCAGTTTCCTACCATTCCCTTCTGGCTGCTTAAGTCCTTTTTATGTGATAGCCCCTACCCCCAGTGTTGGCAGCTGCTCTGTGAAACTCCCCAGTTGTCTGACCTGGGGTAAAGTTTAGATGACTGTACAATCATTTCCTCAGACGCCACTCTCCCTGCTTTTGGACATTGTAGTTTCACCATCATTAGCATGGCCCCACCACCGTGGCCTGTGACGGCCGTCCTTTGTGAGCCTGCATCCCCTCATGGCCTTTCTGTGGCTAGAGTATTTCTGCCAAAACCAGGGAGGCTCTCAGTGCCCTCTCGGCTTTCCCCACCTTCCAACACAGAGGGCTGTGAAGCTTTCCGTGAGACTGCCTCCCTGGCTGCCCTCTTCTCTGGTGTCACTTTTCCGGGGTTTGACCCGGGCCCATGGGATGTGCTCAAAGTCTGCGGTGGGCCCGCCCACTTTCCTCTGCAGCCCATTGTAGTTAGACCGAGTTACTGTGTGGCCACCAGCCCTCGCGTTTGAATTCGGAGGATCTCCCTCTGCCTGCCATCCTCTCCTAGCCTCCATCCTGGTTGTTTTTTTGTGAAAATGGCAGTGAGCAGGCACAGTTCTGAACTGGCCCTGAGGAAATGGGTCAGGAGTTGTGTGGGCAAGAGGGAGGGATGAGAACCACTGGAGAACTGAAAATGAATTATTTTTCTTTTTAACATTTTTTATATTAGTAATAAATGCAGTGGAAACAAGTATTTTGTTTTTCCCCCCAACTTTTATTAATTAATTTTTGTTACATATGTTTCTCCTTTTTCCCCCCTAGACCTCCTCCTCCCCATCCTTTCCCAACCCCCCAGCATTGCTGTCTTTGTCCGTTGGTTATGCATTCATGCATGTAAGTTCTTTGATTTATCTTATCCATTCCCCCCCTCCCCCTCCTCTGAAGTTTGTCAATCTGAACCCTACTCCTTTCTATGTCTCTGGGTCTATTTTGTTCATCAGCTTATTTTGTTCATTAAATAAATGAGATCATGTGGTATTTACAATGGAAACAAGCATTTCAAAAAAAAAAAAGTATGAACTAGAGCTTTGGCCAGCATCTCAGTGGTTAGAGCATTGGCCTGTGCACTGAAGGGTCCTGGGCTTGGCACCTATTCAGGGCACATACCCAGCTTGCAGTTTCTTTTTTTTTTTTTTTTTATCCTCACCCAAGGACATTTTTCCAATTTTTGTACAGATAGAGTGGGAGGGAGAGAGAGGGAGAGAGAGAGAGAGAAACATCGACGTGAAAGGGACACATCGAGTGGCTGCCACCCGCACGACCAACCAGGGCCGGGGACAAACTGCAACCGAAGTACGTGCCCTTAGCGGAAACTGAACCCAGGTCTCTCCGGACCGCAGGCCGACGCTCTAACCGCTGAGCTAAACCGGCCAGGGCCCAGCTTGCAGTTTCGATCCCTGGTTAGGGCTCATGTGAGAGGCAACCAATCAATGTTTCTCTCTCACATCAATGTTTCTCTCACTCCCTCTCCCTCTCCCTTCCTCCTCTCTAGAATTAATGAAGAAACATATTCTTGGGTGGGGATTTAAAAAAAAAATTAAAGAGTATGAGCTAGATATAAATGACCCAATGTTTTCTCTTCGTTTCCTCCCATACACCCAATCTGTTGTGTAGATGCAATGACCATTATTATTATTGTCAGTGCAGGTATTTAATAAGCTTTGTTTCTAGGTAACCAAAAACTATTAATAATTTTAAGCTTTCTGCAAAGACTCACAATCACAATTTAATATATTTATTTACAACTTCAGTGCTTCTTCCAAAAAGATGAGATGAGGCTTAAAATGAAAGACATTTAACTTTAAAGGCTATGAAAGTAAATCTACAAAACAAATTACTTATGTAGAAAGGAGAAGCAAGCATAGCACATCTATTTAGGTGGCTGCTGGCAGGTGATTGACAGTCTCCTTCCCATGAGCTTTGTGGTAGCAAAGTTAGAAAGGAAGACAACATATCACATAATTATCCTTGTGTGAGTTTTCCAGACCATAGCACTAGTGATTTTCCATCTTATTCTAATGCAGGCTACCATGTGAAATATATTTTTAACATACTCTTTCTTCCCCAGTGATTACTTTCTAAAATCAGTTGGTCAGAATACATTGCTTCTTCCTAATATACTACAATTTGTTTATTTGTTATTATCATGGGGGGAAAATCAACTTTCTGCTAAAATTGTTAGTTTAGTAGGCATAGACATTAAAATCAAGATTGATTTTTAAACTTTTTAAAATTGTCTCTTTCACTAGATTTCAGCTCTCTAGGGCAGAAATTGTCTTTTCATCTTCTTATAATTGGTATCCCCTAAATAAATAAGCCTTCAAGCCTTTGTTCATAACTCTAAAATCTAAAAAGCTCTGAAAACAAAAAATGTTATCAAAAGTTGGGTTCCAAAACTCATTCAGAGGCAATACCTGAATTGAGTAAGACTGTTCAAGCATCTTCATTTGTCCAGCTGTCTGTGAATATCTCTCTGTCTTGCCGCAGAAGTGGTGATAGGTGTGACTGGGATGTTCTGCAGACTGCTGGGTGTGACGTGGTGTATGCATCCTATTACTTTTTTTAAATTTGAAAGTATAAATTCCAAAACATTGCGCCCCAAAGGTTTTAGAAAAGGGATCATGGGCCTATAATAGCCAATTCCTAGAATAGTGTATGTACCTAGTAAACGTGGGTTGGAGTGAAATCTGCCTAAAACGAGGTACTTAGACATGGGAAACCTCTGCAGCCAGGCCAATGACCTTGAGGCCTCAGGAATAAAACAGGTGATCCAGTCCTTAAAGCAGTGCATCAGAATGTTTCCAGAATTGTTTTCTTAGAGTAGTTCTAATTGGTCTCTAGTCATAATAAATCCTAGGAGTGTGAGAGCTATTCTGTCAGTGTCCTAGAAGATGCTTCTTGTATGATTTTGTGTGTTTTTTATGTTGTCTCTGTCTCTTTACCTATCACCTTGTATCATTTTGTTTTTGTTCAACATTTTTAAGGTGTCACATCAGCTTTTTTAATACTGGTGATTTAATTGCAAAAGCACACATAAACAGTTTGAAAGGTGTGAGAAGAAATTCACAAGTCAGTTGGGAAAATAGCAACAAAGCTGGCACTCAGTGTGGAATGCATCCACTGTGCAACAATCGCCCTGCCAGGGGGTCAAATGGTGTTCCTGGAATCCAGTGAAAAATGAGTTTGATACAAAGAAACATTTGTTTCATACTGAAGATACAGGGGGAAATATCTTGATATGAATTAGATATTGGCTTCACCCTCACAAAGCTTAAATTGTATAAGGACAACAAGACATTTAGATAAATAAGTATAATACACAGCAGAACAGACCAGAGGGGAAGACCAATGGAGAGACTTTGCAGCTCAGGAGATCAGGAAGGAGGTGGGTTGCACTGACCTGTAAAGACGAGTCAGAATTAGGTTAGCAGAGAGGATGGCCTTAGTGGAGTAGAGATGAGCACGGCAGAGTCCCAGCTCTCCAGAAGCTCTGTTTCATAGTGGAGACACTTAACAGATCAATTATTATGAAAAGTAGCAAATGTTATAATAGGGGCTATGGACCCAGAGGGATAATAATCAGTGATCCTTGGGAAAGGTAGGAAGGAGTTAACCTTCACGTTCGATGCTGAAGAACACAGACACTTGCCCGGAAGCATAAGGATGGGACTAGGCATGTCTTCTAGGCAGAGTAAATAATAAGAAGCTTATTTGCATGCTCAGCAACAGGACAGTTACACCAAGGTGACTTTTTACATTGTAATGTCATTGCAGGTGAATCTGTCATGCCTTCTGGAACAATACAGAATGGAAAAAGTTTTCAGAACAAGAGTCAGTTTAGAACCATTGCACCGAAAATTGTGCCCAAAGTCCAAACTTCCAGAGTGCCGTCGGGCCCTGCGCCATCACTCTCTGATCAGGTGAATCCAGGCCCCTCCGTCGGCTCCGCACCGCTAGGGATGCCCACCCAGAACTATGCTCTGATGCAGGTTGCTGGCCATAAGGGGACGTTTTCTCTCGTGGCATTGCCGCATGTTGCCTCAGCTCAGCCAGTCCAGAAGCCCAGACTGCCCCCTCCTGAAAACCTCAAACTGCCTATTCCTCGATACCAACCCCCGAGAAATAACAAATGGTCAACAAAGAGTCCCGCGCTGAGCTCCTCTGAACGCGGTGGTAGCAGACCTCCTGCCCAAACCCAGACATCTCCTTCCCCGCCTGACCGTTCTGAACCCCTACCCCAACCCAGCGCATCTGGGCCAGCGCCATCACTAGAACAAGCCCCAGCCAGTGTCAGCATGGCTGCACTGACCAATGGCCGTGACCACAGAGATTCTCGACCTCCAGTGACCAGTGACCATGGAGATCCGGACCTTCCTGACACCGCAACATCATCCACACCAGAGGAACCCTCTGCCAGGCAGGGCCTCATGAAGATTTCAGACAAAGAAAACTTTTCAAGCAAAGAAACATCCAATAAACCTGCTGTTGCCAGTGAAAAACATAAAGAACAAGTTGATCTTGCAAAAGGCACAGTCAGGTCATCACCAGCCATTTTGGGCAGCGTGCCTCAGTTGATCCCCTCAGTCCCCAAAGGCAAACTGCCAATCTTACCCTACTTAAGGATGAAAACAACCGAGTTTTATAAAAGTGAGTCAGAGGCTAACATTGTGGACTTTTCTTTACCTGGGCTCAGGGTAGACTGCGATAAGACATCCACCATCACAGAAGGCTTTGATGTGGTACCTGGTCCACAGGTGTCGAAGCAGAGTCCCTGTAAAAGTGCCTTTTGTCCAGCTACCAAACTGGATCTAAACTACAAAACAAAACTGAACAGTGAGGCAGCAAAGAGAAAAGGAAGAAAACTAAAGGCATCAGATGAAATCTTGTCATTTCAGGGGAGAAGGAAGAAATGTAAAAGAATAAGAAATGATTCCCAACAATCCAGAGACCAAAAACCTGGGGCTATGAAAAAATATCGTAGCATTATGCCTAAACCTGTCATTGTCATGCCCGCCGTGGCTCCCCTGGCTCCTGCAGCTGTGTTCCAGCCTCAGAGGCCCAGCAGCCTAGAACAGGACAGTTTGCTAAATAATTCCTTCACTTCTAGATATCTCGGCTGTAAGCAGGATGACAGCCCTTCCCCTAAGCCCAACTCTGCATTCAGAAATGGATTCTCTGGCATTAAGAAGCCTTGGCACAAATGTCCTGTCTGTGACCATCACTTCCAGCTCAAACAGCACCTCCGAGACCACATGAACACACACACTAACAGCCGGCCATACAGCTGTCGGATTTGTTGCAAGGCATATGTGCATTCTGGCAGCCTGAGCGCACACATGGAACTTCATCATGGTGAGAGCCAGCTGAAGAAACTCGTGTGCTGTGAATTTTGTGCAAAAGTGTTTGGTCACGTCAGAATCTATTTCGGCCATCTGAAAGAAGTGCATAGGGTTGTCATCAGCACCGAGCCCTCCTCCAGCGAACTGCAACCAGAGGATGTGCCGAAGAACAGGGACAGGGACATGAGTGTGCAGAGGTGAGTGCTAATGGAATGGATAAATTTGCAAAGACATCTCTCAGATTAAGATTTTATGAGGCTAGTTCTATGAAATATCATCTCTGATCAGTCATGATTTATACTGATGCTGACCCCCTAAGCCCGGCCACAAATGCCTGTTTGAGGTACACTGAGAACAGTCAGGTGACAAAGAAACATTGATGTAAGAAACATTGATCGGTTGTTTCGCACACTTGCCACAACCGGGACTCAAACCCAAAACCTGGGTATGTGTCCTGACCTGGAATTCATCCCCCACCTTTTATGTACGAGCGATGCTACAACCAACTAAGCCACCTGGCCAGGGAGTAACAGGTTATGTTTGTATCTGACATATGAAATATTAAATTTTATGTATAGTTCCTCTTACTCTTTACAAATAATTTCCCCACCATGGTGTTCACAGAATTTATATCTAAACAGCGTCATTTGCCCCTGCACATCACCTTGGTGCGACCAGACCCGAAGGTGTCCAGACCTTCAACCCTCTACATTGCCCTGCTTTTCCCTTCAGGCCAGGTTAACTTTGGCCTGTGGCATTCCCATTTGCAGGGACTGTGTCTTAGCATTATAAACAAGCAAGCTAATCATCCGTAAGCCTGGCGGGGCTTTCCTCGAGCAGGAGGGAAACTAGGGATGCCCTCATCTTGTCCACTGTCCCCTGGATGACAGATAGAGTTTCACTGACCTGAATCCTCATTAGCACCATGGAAAGCAAACATGTTCCCACACTAGATTGTCTGCCCCTTGTCATTGTTTTCCGATAGTCCACTTTGATTTTTAGGTAAAATTCCACTATATTTGGTGCTCAAGGTTACAGATGGCAACAGTGGGTGGTGTGGACAGTTACTGTCAACCAACCCAGCGTGTTCTTGGAGTGCCTCTCTTGGTACTGCCTGACTCTCACATTGCTGACACCTGTTCCTGTAGTCACCAAAGACTAGTTAGCTACCTTGGGGAGCAGTGTGTGACCCCAAGCAGGAGTAACAATCAGATTCTGAGGCCTCTGCTGAAGGCCTTCCCATGCTGTCTCTGTCTCCCCACTCTTTGTGCTGCTCATCAGTGGGTGTGTTTTAGATCTTTGATGGCCAAGAGCTTTAAAAAGGAAAAGTTCCAATTCAGTTTTTCCAAGCAATTTTATATTGAATATTTTTCTCTTTTTTAGGGAAAACAAATCAAGCCTGGAAGAAGACTTCCTCCTAAACCAGGTAGATGAAGTCAAATTACAAATCAAATGTGGTCGCTGTCAGATCACTGCCCAGTCCTTTGCTGAAATAAAGTTTCATTTACTTTATGTTCATGGAGAGGAAATCCAGGGCAGGCTGCAAGAGGAGCTCTCCCCAGGAGTCCAGGCCGCTCAGGAAGAACTGGTGCACCATGCTGCTCCCTCCTGGAAACAGCATCCTGAAAGAAGAAAGGTGCTGAAGCACGGTCCCTCTGATGAGGAGGGACTTGCAGTTCCTAAATTGACAAGGCAGCCCTACCTTCACCATCAGAATGACATAGAAATGCTCACAGAACATGAAGGCACCCAGCTGGGACCCAGGGAGCCAGGAGAAGTCCCCCAGGGCCCTGCGTGCCCCGGCCCACACTCCGTGCTCCTCCAGTCCCATTCTGGCTATAACTGCATCCTTTGTGCACAGACACTTGGAAGGAAAGACGAACTCCTCCTGCACTGGGAACAAGAGCACAATTGTGAGGACCCTCCCAAGCTCTGGAGGATTCTAAATGCACTCACTAGCCAGGACTGATTGAACTTCCCAGCAGAACTGAAAAATGAAAGACAAGCTACAAGAGGTTAAACAGAGTTTTGTATCACCTTTCTCTCAGAGTTCTTGTTTTATGGTGGTGGTTAACTATAAGAAACAAACAAGTTAGGATCAGCATTAATAAACAGGAGTGATTTTTGTACATAATTTTATTTTCTTATGAAATATATGCCCTTGATGCATATTTTTCTAACCATATGCAGTTTTATTTTTAAATTCTATGTACTAACTTTTAATGTCTTAGACTTTATTTCAGAATAAATAAAAAGATTGAAATTTAGAGGCCATTCGTTAGATATTGTTTTCAGTAAAAACGTGTTTGAGTGTGTGTTTGTGTCCTTTTGTTCAAATATTTTCTGTTTAAGTACATTGACTAATGTGAAATTTTCCAGGTGAAATAATTATTTCAATTCAATCAAATTGCTATTTATCAAATGCTCTTGTTTATTTAAAAATACTATAAGGCAGTGCATTTAATAAGGTGCTCATCTAATATAATTTAAAATCCATATTTTCAGGACTCAGATTTTTTAAAATTCTATTTTCCCAAATGCACATTGCCTTGAAGATTAGATGTTGGTAGGTTTTATAGCTATAGTGTTTTATATCAAAGTAATCAAAAAAAAATTTTAGTACTTTGGCTAATAAAAAAATTTACTTTTTTGGTAAAAAGTCATTTTCAGGTCAGAAAATTTACAACCTGGAAAGTGAACTAGATAGTTCAGTCCAGATGTCTAGGTGTCTCAACTGCTTTCCCTCCCTCCCAACTAACTTCAGAGGGTTGTCACTAAATGATCAATTTTAGACTCACTGTGCTGTTCAAGCCCAGGTTCACTTTAAAAGTCAAGAGTAAATGATTGCCTCTTAAATTCCTGGGAAATTACTTCAAATCAGAAAAATTGCCATTTGAAGTTTCTAGTCATCCTGGCTACGAAATTATTTTCTTGAAATGGGGAGCTTGAGCACTGATCCTACTAAAATTTCAGCCTTTAGATGAAAGCCCTGTGCATGGATGTGGCCAGTCCTTTTTCCCTGAAGCATGGCCCGGGCATCAGCATAACATTTTTCTTGCTAAAGGAAGATGTTGAAACAGAGGAAGAACTAAATTCTAAGTGATAAGATAGTGGGTCTTAAGTCATCTTTTTAATGTCTAATTTTAAACGCAAGTGTTCATAGACATGCTTTGGCTCAAATACTATGAAAAGGGAAAATTCAGTCTTTGGCTTTTCATAAACAGTTTTATAAATTTGAGAATAAGAGGGTAGGAATGGAAGTCTCTGGAAATTTTTGCTGTGGTTTATCGACCAATTACACTCTACACAGTTTCAGAGAGATACTATTAGACCTCCACTGTTTGATATTTTAGAACTGTATTATTCATGAAACAGCTTTACCATTTAGTACATTACCTAGTTTGTTTTGGGAAGATTGATCTTAAAGACGCTAAAAAATGAGATCTACCTAGAATACTGTTGAAATTGAAACTAAAATAATTCATAGACTGCTCAGTCCTCAGATACAAATCGTATTTCCAAAATACCAGTTGGCCAAGGGCAGAAGACTGGGTCTGGAGCATGAATGGAGGTGAAGGTGTGGGGCACAAGGAAAGTCTGAAGTCCCCAAGATCGTAAAGACCCCCACTTGTGGCCATTTTTTAACCACATATTCTTAGAGCAAAGGCAAACAGGGCACAGACAGTCTTTAGACAGAGGAGAGTTCAGATGCAGCAGAGAACAGAAGTCGGGAGATGTGACTGGCTCATGGAGGTGCTCTGACTGGACGCCCTTCCCGTCAGCATTGCCTTGGGGGGCAGGGAGAGGGGCAGCACTCCTTTCTAAGAAAACTGAGAGAGAGAAGGAAACTTGCGATGCAGAGGGGCCTCCCTGGGTGGCTGTGTGTATGGATTCATTCAACAATAAACAATAAATAAAATGTTTGTTATAGTTCTCAGCTTCCCAAAACACTCACCTGAGTTACAGTGGGGACAGCCCCAGTGCCAAATAAGATACAGAGTTTCTGGCCCTTACTTACAGCACTGCTTTAGTGAGAATGGTGGGAAGAGGTAAGAAGGAGTAATTCAGCTAAAGTAACTTGGAAACAGCTCAACTTGATAAGCCAGTGGGTCTTCATCGATATGCCTTCCTGGGGTGTAGACGTGTTGTTGGCGCAGTCCTAGCCTGCACGCTGAACCCAAAGGCAGTGAGGTGTAGATATGCTGTGAGGTTCACTCTGTGAGACCTTGAGAGAGTCACCTTCCTAAGGCTCCAGCCCTTGTCTGTGAAATGAGTGTGCGACCCCAGCTCGAGGCATTGTTGTGAAGCACAATTCCACACAAATGAACTGACTGCCCTAGGGGGGGCCACAGAGTAACTCGTGGCTAATATTCATCGTGCTTTGGGGCAGACTTGAAAGAAGAGGACTACTATACCACAGAAAGATTATTTAAAACAGCTCAAATAGGCCTCACATCAGAATTCAAGGATGAAAACTACTAGAACCACAGATTCTGGCATCTTTGTATAAAAAGTGTATTTTAGTTCTTAAATAATCAAACATTTGTATTGTATGGCGGTTTAGTAAGTGTCTAATCAATATAGAAAGCAAAGTTCACTAAATTATGTCCATTCCAGGCTCCACTTTGGGTTTGATGCTCCCTCCCTTCGGCTGCCCCTCTGTGCTGTTCCGTGGGCCTGACCTGGCTCATCACAGTGTCCACCCCAGTGTCCTGAACGTGATCGTAGTCTGTTCTGCTTCCCACAGTAGATCATTAGTCTCTTGAGGACATGGACTATGTCTTTGTTCAGCACATGGCCCCAGAGGGTCCAGCACCTGATATGAAACAGTGTTCAATAAGTATTTGTTGAAAAAATGGATACATTAGCTAAATACAAACAAATTGCCACTTCCCTTTTTATGAATCAGTCTAGCTTTAGGAGCAACTAAACAAGCTAGAAAGGCATAGAGGCAACTTGGTCTTAGTCTCAGCACATTCATTTTGCTTAATGTCTTTGCTTCTTGGAAAATTGTCACAAAGCCAGCAAAATGAGATTCCTTTTTTCTTTTTCTTTTGGCCCTAAATTATTTATGAAAGTTATAGCATTTTAGATTTGTATTGTTTTATTAGCTGTCATTTTTATTCACGTCCCCTTTTGTTTCTCTCTCTCTCTCTGGCCCTCTTCCTGGTTTAGCTTGACTATTCCTCTGTTAAGCTGTTCCTCATATGGAAAGCTGTCTCTTCATCAGCACCCCATAAATAATCAAACCTGGGCACGTTCCAGTGCCTTCTCTGGCTCCACGCGCCCTCCTCCCAGCTGCACGGCTCCAGCTTTCGTGGCCCCAGTGACATGATTGTTGGCAATAAATGCTCAACTTCATTTATTTACTAGAATTTTCAGATCTGAACTCGTTTGCTCCATTCAGGCTGCTGACATGCTTTGTTAGGCACATATTTTATAGTCTCCTCTTTTCACTGAGCTCCTGATAAAAAGTACCCTGGTAAAGATGATTTAGTAGAACAGATTTCTAGTTTCAACTGTATACTTTCTTTCCTGACAATCCAGCTGATCTGGGCTTGTGGTGCAAACCAATATATATTTTAACGATATCCACCTTTTCAGAAATGTTGCTTTTGGAGGTAAAATGTTTACTGTATATCATATTTGGTCATGGTCATGGTTATCCCCATAAGAAACTGACTATAAGCACAGTTTTGCAAGCCCATTTTAAATTTGTGTTCAGTGTGCAGAACTTAGCTTACATTTTCCATACTCTAAAGTGTGAAAATGTTTCAAAGTGTTGCCTAACCGTAGGAAAAAATCACTATCTACCAAAGGAAACCAAGTATGACAGCAAAAGGAAGTTAAGGTTACTTGTTCAGATTTTGATGTGAAGTTAAACAGGTTTGTTTGTTTGTTTGTTTGTTTGTTTGTTTAAGGAAACTTGCTCCCACCTCTTGGTCAGCCTAGCAGAAAAGAATTTACCTATAATAGGATGGCAACATTGCCTCTTTTAGTATGTTGCAAAAACAAAATCGCAAGCAATCAGCATTGTAATGGATCATTTTTGATAAATCAAACAGCCACTAAGTACTATTCAAAAAAGGAAAGATTTTACCTTCTGTCATTAAATATGAATTTAATCTCCATCTAGGAGTTGTGAGAATACCAGCTGTTCTGTAGGCATTTGTAGAAACAGAGCAGTGAACTCGGTCTGATTGCTGCCTGAGTTGTGATGCAGATCTTACTACAAAGACTTGGCCGTGGAAGAGACCCAGGCGGCCCAAACGTATGGACTGCACAACCATCCCAAAGTTCTGACTGTATCTGGAAGTGACACGGGGTGTCCCAAAAAATGTATGCACACTTTGAATTAATTATAAAGCCAGTGTTGATTAAAATACATTTTATTTTGAAAGTGTAATAGAATCTACAGACACTCTGTGTACATTTTTGGGGGGACACGCTGCATTTAAGAGTATGTTCTTAGGAAACCAAAAACTGCCTTTTCCTAGTTTAATCCAAATTAAAGCACAGTTAAATTTTTCATAGGACATTCATTGATACAAGTCTTTTTGACAATGTTTACACCCAAGGCAATTTAAAATATCCAAGGCGACTAAGAACTAAGTCTTTTTGATGGTGTTTCTTCTTTCCTGAGGCAATGGGGGGGAGGGCAGGCAGGAGGGCAGAAGTGCTGTGTCAACACCTGCCCGGGGAGCCTTCTGGTGACAGCCAGATGGGGCTCTGCAAGAGCAGGAGAAATCCCGGCTCCAGCATCCAGGCAGCAAAATGCCAATAATATTTTGGTACAACCTCAATGGAGCAAACAAAATTTGACAATGTCTGTCAAAACCCCAGAATGCACAGACTTTTTAAAAAAAACTTTTTTTCCTTTATTGATTGTGAAAGAGAGGAAGTGAAAGAGAGAGAGAGATGGAAACATCGATGAGAGAAAACATCGATCAGCCCCTCCTGCATACCTCTCACTAGGGATCGGGCCCACAACCTGGGCATGTGTCCTGACCAGGAATCGAACCGGCGACTTCTTTTTTTTTTTTTTATCCTCACCCGAGGACATTTTTTTTTTTTTTTTTTTTTTTGATATTTTGTTCAGATAGAGTGGGAGGGAGCGAGAGAGAGAGAAACATCGACGTGAAAGGGACA